TTTCATATCTATCTCTCTGTCTCTTAGAGAACGAAATAAGCTATAAAAATGAGCTATTACTTATTTTTTTTTTCAATATAGAAATTTTTGAATCGGGATCGGAGCTACAAGGTGTTTTCTGAGAGAAATGACTACCCATAGCAACTACGTCTCATTTTTCCCAAAAATACTTTCTCTTCTACATCCTGCTTTTTCCATCCCTGCAAGAGATACATACCCCTACACTTCCTCGTGGTTCTTGCTGGGCAACGTCCACTTTCAATGTAGAAAATCATTCCATTGAAAGTTGACGGCATAGTAGGGGGCATTGAAACCTTTCAAAATAAATATGTCCAAAAAAATAAGTTTTTATTTTTTACACTTTTCCCGACGGCACTGCAAATTGATTTGAATTTGTACATGCCATCTATGAATAATGTTCTACATTACAGTGAAAAATTCATCAACGATCATCCACTATCAACTGAGATATAAGCAAAAATATGTACAAAATTTTATTTTTTTTATTTTTTACACCTCCGACGGCACTGCAAATTGATTTGATCTTGTAATTGTCATCTATGAATAATGTGCTACATTACAGTGAAAAATTCATCAACGATCAAAAAAGAAAAGTTGAAAATAACAATTATATTAAGCAACAATAAACCTGAAATGAAATGATAGTGAAATAACCTACAAGTAAAAATATAATAATTGAATAAATGAAAATTAAAGGAATGAAAAAAGAAAATAATAAAAAAATAAAAAAGTGTAGAGATTCCAAGTCACGTTAGTTCACGACGTTTCGATTGTTGGTATCTACAATCGTCTTCGGGTGATGACTTTCCATAATATGTTACAATTTGGGGCATACAAAAGGCTAGGAATTATGTGAAACTTGGCAACAGTGGACGGATCTTCTCCTCTATCCCGATGTCGATGGTGTCTACACGTCAAAAAGCGTGGCTAGAAAAGTATGGATAACTTCACATAAACTCGAGACAGAATCTATAGGAGGAGCAAGGTATTTTTGCTGTTAAAAAATGATTTCTCAAACTATAGAATAATACATTTCTTGAAAAACAAGTCAGAAACAAAACAAAAAATTGAGTTTTTTGCAATTTATTGGATAAATTTTCGTTTTGAGGACACCCGGCGATTTTGAAAAAATGTTTGCGCGTACTTACGTATTTTGATGCGTAGATTACGAATCCGAAAGAAAAAAGCGGTGCTATCCCTTATTTACAAAGTTACGGCCCTTCAACGTTCTGAAAAGGACAACTTTTCAGCCTTCTTTTTCACAAAACAAATAGTAAAAATAGAACAAATTCCTCGACTGTTTGTAAATTAAATAAATCAATCTATGGACTCAGAAAATCTCCAAAATATTGGAATAATAAATTCGATATTTTGATTAAAAAGGAAGGCTTTTGTAAAGTCTCAAAATGATTTTTGTCTCTATTGTAAAGTCTCAAACAAAAATCAATTGTTTATTCAATTGTATGTAGATGATATACTAATTATTTGTACTGATGATTTTGATGTCAACAATTTAAAAATTGTTCTAAAGAATAATTTTTCTATGAAGGATTTAGGATTTGTTTCTAGTTATTTAGGTATAAATGTCAAACAGAATTTAGAACAGGGTTATATTGAACTTGATCAATCTGATTACTTAAAACAAGTTTTGGAAAAATAAAATATGAGCGAATGTAATTCTATAAGTACCCCTATGGACCAAAATTTTAATTTTGCTCTATTGAAGAATGAAACTTCAAAAAATTTAAATGAACAGTGTAGAAAAATAATAGGAAGTCTTCTTTATGCAGTGCCAGGTACTAGACCAGATTTCTGTGAAAGTGTAAATGTATACTCAGTAGATTTCAGGATAAGGTAAATGATTGTTTGTATAAAGCTTTCAAAAGAGTTCTCCGTTATGTAAAGGAAACATTGAATCTAAAATTAATTCTTAAGCCTGATAGTAATTCTGATATTCTCGTTGGATATGTTGATTCCGATTGGGTTGGAGATATTGTTGACAGAAAGTCAACTACTGGTTATGTTTTCAAATTTTTTGATTGTACAATATGTTGAACTAGTAAGAAACAGCATACAGAATCAATTTCTTCTACCGAATCAGAATATGTTGCCCTGACAGTAGCTATTAGTGAGGCATGCTAGTTAAGGAAAATTTTAATGGATTTTCACTTGTTCTCACCTCCATAAAGTTAGCAAGGCTACTTGCAGTAAAATTATTGAAATATACTTTTTTAATTGTCGAACAATTGTCGAGAATTTGTCGTGAAAGAAAAATAATTGCCGCGCATATCTTTTTTTTTATAAGGGGTAGTCCTGCTAACTTGATATAAATAAGTAGCACAGCACCTGTAGTAAAATTTTTTATATAACTGAATTATTAAAACTTTCATTACTAGTAGTTGTCGAATAATTGTCGTAACCCAATCCATATCAAAAAATTATCTGAATCGTATTTTTTTGGAAAATATTGCGTTTTTCGTGTCATACCTTGTACTATATGGATATTTTGAACCATATGGCAACACCGCAACAGGCATATTTGATTTCTTCATAAATTTTTTAAAAGGATCGCCAGTGAAAAGTGTGAATAGGTTGCCACAATTGACCAATTGTATCTCTTTGGACAATCGTTTATAAATGAAGATCAATCAAAAACAAAAGTATTGTTCAATTGTCGAAACAGCAGAATTGATATATATATCGTATGTAGGTATATTAAAGAAGAATTATGAATTTCTCCCAGCAGGCAAAGTGATCTGTTTTTCTGTTAATTTTTTTTTTACAAAAGACAACTTATTGATCAATTGTCGTATCTTTTTCGACAATTGTTTATGAATGAAAAACAATTGTCGCTCTTCAACTTTTTTCTTAATAGGTGGCTCTGCTAACTTGATATAAAGTTAGTAGGGTCAGCCCAGTACAGGTCTCAAAAATACTCAAATATCGAAAGTTTTGCTATTAATATTTGTCGAGTAATTGTCGCAACTAACTTGATGTCAAAAAATAATAAAAAATGTATTTTTCTCACATTATATTTCCACATAACTCCATATCAAGAAACAATAAATTACATATACATCTACAATAACAAACGATGAGGTAAATAAAACAAATGTAGCTACCCAACAAGGATTGTTTTGATACAATACGTTAATTCATTCTTTTAATTCAAAAGATGAGTATGAGGTTTTATGTATTTGATGGGCAAAAGATCTATTGAGTCTACTATTGAGAATACTTTCAATGCTTGTCATGAACACCAATATCTGTTTTCAAAAATAGGTAGGTATAGGGCATTTAATCGTTGTGAAACTCTGGAAAGGCTGTCTGTCTACACCTCAACTTCGGGAAAATCAATGACTAAAATAACACTAATTATAGAAGAAACGACAATATTTTTAACGTATTCTAAAAACACTTTATTGTGTGATTTTCACTACAGTTTTACAAAAACGCAACACGTGTTTCGCCATACAATGGCTTCCTCGACAATATTTTTATCGGCTTGCCATAAATGATAGAATTATTTTTAAAGCTAAGGGGGACAATTATTAATATAAACCAAGAAAATAATCTAGGTGAATAAATTATTAAAATTTAAATAATAATTCAGTTGACCTTTTTGCTCTATATTTTACAACACATGAGAACTTCTGGATAATACATTCTTGAAAATATTTTTTTTTATCGTTTTGGACAACTGATAACTATAGATTAGACTTTTAGGGATTTCTATTGGAGAGGATGTGATAACTGCATATCAAGTTAGCAGATCCACCTATTCAAAAAAAAAAAGTTGAAGAGCGACAATTGTTTTTCCTTCATAAACAATTGTCGAAAGAGATACGACAGTTGATCAATAAGTTGTCTTTTGTAAAAAAAAATAATTAACAGAAAAACAGATCACTTTGCTTGCTGGGAGAAATTCATAATTCTTCTTTAATATACCTACATACGATATATCAATTCTGCTGTTTCGACAATTGAACAATACTTTTGTTTTTGATTGATCTTCATTTATAAACGATTGTCGAAAGAGATGCAATTGGTAAATAGGTTGCTAATTGCAAAAAATATTCGACAGGATTATAGGATTACAAAAATAGATGAAACAAAAACATTTATCGATATAATTTCCACATAGATACATTACAAATTTATTTTAGCACTTTTCAGTGGCGATCCTTTTGTAAACTATATGAAGAAATCAAATACGCTTGTTGCGGTGTTGCCATATGGTTTAAAATATCCATATAGCACAAGGCATGACACGAAAAATTATATATTTTCCAAAAAATACGTTTCAGGAAATTTTTTTGATATGGATTGGGTTACGACAATTATTCGACAAATACTAGTAATGATAGTTTCAATATTTCAGTTATATTGAAAATTTTACTACAGGTGCTGTACTAACTTTATATCAAGTTAGCAGGGCCCTTATAAAAAAAAGAGGTGCGCGACAATAATTATTTTTCTTTCACGACAAATTCTCGACAATTATTCGACAATTAAAAAAGTATATTTCAATAATTTTACTGCAAGTTGCCTTGCTAACTTTATGGAGGTCTTGTTCTTTATAAATAATCCAATACCAATATTTGAAGATAATCAGTCGGCTATAAAAATTGCTAATAATCCTGAAAATAAGAGAAGATTGAAACATATTGATATTAAATATTACTTTATTAAAGAGAAAATTGAAACAGGCTTGATTGAAGTATTGCATGTAAAAACTGAAGAACAATTAGCTGGTGTGTTTACTAAACCTTTACCAAATAATAAATTTTTAAAGTTTGTAAAATTATTAGGTTTAGTAAATGACCATATATATGTATATATTTAAATTGTTTCATTGAGGGGGGTGTTGGTGACAATGAAGCAATTTAAGGTTGGTAGTGTGACTTTCTCACTCTTATCAAATGTCATCCATGTATAAGTTTAATCAAATTGTAAAAGTTCATGTAGAGCATTGTGCTAATGATTAGCATAATATAATTTTGGAAAATACTGATCCAAGTTTTATTCCAGCTATCATTCACTTAAACCTTAAACATTTAACAATAATACGAGAAAAAGTTTTTTTCCAAGTCTGTTACGGCCATCCAAAGGAATCTGAAAGCAGTTTTATGAATGTTTTCAGATGCTCTTTCCAACTGTATTTTTAGTTCAGTGGCAGCGGACCTCGATATGGAAATTTCATAGTAACAGAAAAAGTTTTAATTTTTTTCCAAGTCTGTTACGGCCATCCAAAAAGATCTAAAGGCAGTTTCATGAATGTTTTCAGATGTTCTTTCTTACGGTATTTTTCGTTCAGTGGCAGCGGACCTCTATATGGAAAAAGTTTTTTATTTTTTTCCATGTCTGCTACGGCCATCCAAAGAGATCTAAATGCAGTTTCATGAATGTTTTCAGATTATCTTTCTCATGGTATTTTTGTTCAGTAGCAGCGGATCTCTATATGGAAATTTCATAGTACGAGAAAAAGTTTTAATTTTTTCCCAAGTTTCCTACGGCCATCCAAAGAAATCGAAAGGTAATTTCACTCAATCCTCTATGAGAATTTCATATTCAAGAATTTCTGACAATTCAAATGGATTTTGCTACTTGTGCCTTTTTTTTCTGTTAATTTTGGTCAAACAAATTGTTTAGTCACTGAACGTTTTTTAAGCGGTGTATGAAATAGGGACGCAGATTCACCACTGAGATTTGTTTTGATCTCAAACTTTGCGTAAAAGTACGAATAAAAAAAATCAATTGCAAAATGAATAAGTTAACTCACCTTGTTTGATGTAGTATGGCAGAAGGATGTATGGTAGGAGTGGAAGTTCCTTATTAGACAAGGAAAAATCGCACATGTAACTTTGTGGGTTCGCACCACGACGACGAAGGTTTTCGTCTCTCTGCTCCTCTCCTTGAATATATTTCGGAACGACAAATTCGAGGAAAACAAAAAAAGAGGACAGGATCGGCATGAGTAGATTTGAATAGTAGGAATAAGTAGTAGGATTTCATCAAAGTAAGGTTCTTGAAAAACAACAATTTAAATTATTTGCCCGCATAAATTGTAAATGCACCCTAAACCATATTTACAAGTGTGAAACAAAAATAATGAAAGAAAAAAAAAAAGAAATAAAAATTTAATGTTTGGTAATGAACCAGTCACGTATTTCTGAACTTTGATATGTCTTTGGTCGAACATTCAATCAACTTTTTTAACATAACAATTATTTTTGGTACTTATTGCCCAGCCACCTTTTTGTTACTGACCGATCGTTATTCTGCGAGAAAACAAATTGATTTCAACCCGTATACTTAAAACCTTCTTTAGAAACTCTAGAATTTCTGACACTCAAAATATTTCGGGTGGATTGCTGATAGTAGTCTCCCGTATAATTAATTTTTCTTGTCTCCAAAGGGTCAAACAAATTAGTAAGGTATATCATCTTAGACATGTACCCATATTTGCGAAAATTTGGCACTCGAAATATATTGAGTAAATTGTGAATGATTAGAGGCTTTGTTTGTATCAAATTACATCACTACCCGACTCCAATTACCTTAAGAAATGTTGATCGTACGAAGTTAAGGAAGAAAAACAATCTGAGAACACCGCCTGTGTTCCTCTATCCCACGTTAGAGTTTCCCTTCTTCAGAAAGTGTGGCTAGAAATCTGTGGCTAACTTCACGTTAATTTGGTGAAGAGGGTCAACACTAAGTGGGAAACATCGGTATATACCGAAAACCCACTCACAGGACAGTATCTGAACCACAAATCCAACCACCATCAATCGACTAAAAGAGGAATCAAGACTATAGTAGACCGTGCTTTCGGGATCTGCAATACTAAGGAAAGTCTTGAGAAGGAACTAGACATCATCAAAAATGATCTTCAACGGAATGGCTACTCCAAACTCCAATGCGATGGTAGAACAGACTTTAGCTAAAACACAGCAGGAAACTAAGAGGCCATTGAATGTTCGCACTGCCGAGCACAAGAAACACACACAGCGAAGGGAAACCAGCAAATTAGGAGTAGCAGAGCATGTTTCGACCCATCAACATAACATTGAGTGGTCCCAAGCTGAGATCATACACAAAGAAGGAGCATTGGTTTAGGAGAAAATTCAAAGAAGCCGCATACATGTTGTCCAACAATGTATTCTGCCAAGCTAGCGTAGAGATACGCAACATGAAAACCCATAATCAAGCGAAAAATGGCCAACTTCCGCCAAACGGCCATCGCCCACTAAACCAGTGAAGGGGAAAAAGCAAAGCGGAGATAAGTGAAAGTACTCGAATGGTCCATAAATAGCCATCTCTCGGAGGAATTAGTCCAGTCACCACCAGAAAACGATTGTGGATACTAACAATCGAAACGTCGTAAAGTAATTTGGCTTGGAATCTCTCAACTTTTTCATTAGGGATTTCAAATCATTTCATATATCAGACAATGGAAGTCCGAACTGATTAAATCACCTTCAAACAAATATATACAGTTAGATTTTGTCAATCAATTATCCAGTGTGATGTATGTTCAAATTTACAAAATACTACTAAATTTGAACGTTTCAGATTCTAGAATCATATGATCAGCAGCCGAAGTTACAGAATTTTAGAGTGTTGTAGCTCTGGTGTGGAGGTTTTGAATTATTTCTATGTGAAAGGTATCATGAATATACAATGTGTTGAGGAATAAGAAGAGCCCTATGGGGAAAATCGAAAAACATGAAGATACAAAGTCAGTGAAATTAGGAAGTTTGTTCAGTTAGGAATTTATCATTATAATCCATATGAAAAATTAAAATTGTTGACAATGTCTCGGAGACCAAACATTGGATTAAAAACTGAATCTTCGAATTTCAGTGCTTTTTGAATACCTTCAGAACTTGCGGAATTTCCTGATTTCACTAATCTTTTGTCTCAGATTTTTTCATATGCTGAACTTCTTTATCTTGGACACACAGATATCAGTTTTCATGATTTCCTCACTTAGAAAATGATGTTCGATTCATATTCACATCGAAACAGAAGTGTATCTTATTGGTTCATTTTGTTCGAGTCAGCAATCACTTGTTATATTTCATTTTTCATTTCATTTCCATTTTCGAATATTTCATTACCAAAGATAAATTGGCTGGTATTGAATCCATTAAAACATAAGACAACCCATTCTATTTTTGTTTCAGAATTTCTGACGAGATTTTGGATGTAGCCATTTTAAGCATAGCTAAATAAATTGAAGTGAATGACATAGTGGACCACATTTATCAGTCTGAACTTCAACTTTGTACGTGTGATGTTGCATAAATAAAGCGATCAGTTATTATGTTATATCATTTAATCCATTCATAAAAAAGTTTCAAAATAAAAAATCCATAAGTCACAATAAACATAAATACTTTCTTGCACATACATATTTTTTCTGTAACACTAATCCTGCATAATGAGATACACAGTTCCAGTCCAAATCACTAGTTAGATAATGGAAAAACTTGGGTCGGAAATACTCCTCACTAACATTCAACTTAACTTAGTAATTAGGGACATATACATCTTCGGGATAGTTTATCCCCAAAATTTTATGGCATGCTCCATAAGCTGCCATCCTCTTGGCTGCTTTCTTATTCGAACCTGAAAAATAAAAACAACACTTCATAACATTATTGAACTACGATATCTTGTATAGACATTGTTTGTGCGTTCTACGGAACAATTTCTAATTTTAAATCATTCATAATTTAGTCCCATGCTTTCCATTGACAGTCACAATTGCATTCTTTTCACCGATAACATAAAAATTCACTAAACATACGAATGACAGGAATTAGGAAAAACTGAAATGATTTCTAAGCTAAAGTTATTGTAACTTTTGTTTTTATATTAAACAAGGCTAGGTGCGTACATTAATAAGGTGTCTTTAAGGAGGATTTTTAACAAATGATTCTGCAAAACTTGGTTTCATGACAGTAGACCTTTTCAAAAGGGAATTAGTGTGTAAACATCCACTATTAGCGTTAAAATAATTTGGTGATTGAAAATTCCAATCTCTGAAAGGTAATTAGTATCAATTGCCTAATAAAACAAAAAACAGACACCTGGGATATAGGGATCAGACATAGTTCCAACGTGCTTTAATAAGAAAATTATATTTATTGTCAGTCTTATGCTCCCCGTTTACTGTCACCAATTTACTTTTTTCAATTGGAAATTTTTTATGATGTTTGAAAATGAAGCAAACCTGCAAAAATCCAGGCAGATTTTAATGAAATTAAATTTTTCCCAAAAAATGTTTATTTAATCGTCAATTTGTTTTGTCCCCTTTAAAGTAGTCCCCCTCAGATATAATATCCTTGTGCCAGCGTGTTCTCCAATCCTCGAAACACTTCTGTTATGCACTCGAGCTCTTTCAGCGATTCCGTTTTTATTACCTTAATCGTCGCAAAACGCCATTCTTTCATGGGTCTAAATCTGGTAAATAAGGTAGCTGAGGCATGATAAGGTGTTGTTTTTGTCCAAAAAATTACAAACAAGCAATGATCGGTGAGCAGGTGCATTATCGTGATGCAAAAGGCATAGATTGTTTTTCAATACCGGACGTTTTCTTCGTATTGCTCCTCGCAAGCAGCACATAACTTCAAAATAATACTCCTTATTGACCGTACAACAATTTGGCAAGAACTCACAATGCATTACGCCACAGTAATCAAAGAAAATAGTGAGCAAAATCTTGAATTTGTTTGAACTTGACATACTTTCTTTGGTCTTGGCCCTCCTGGACTCTTTCCATTGGGATAATTGGACTTTGGTTTCGAAGTCATAACCATATTCCTATGTATTGTCACCAGTTATGACCCTTTCCAGCAAATCTGAATAGCCGAAGACGTCATTTAACAAAAGCCGAGCGATGCTCATGCAACGGTTTTTTTTGTCTAAATTCAGCAATTTTGGAACGAACTACGCTGCCACACACTTCATGCCCAAAATTTATTTATTCATTTACGGCATTGGCTATATTTACAAAATGATCAAGAAATTGAGATATATACTATAACTATCAGCTAGATGTAAGGAAAAATATAAAAAAATAGAGGCAAAAATAAGCCCCTATCAAAAACAATATTTTCTGTCTTTTTTAAATGATTCCACAGAAGAATTAAAAAGTTTCAAATCCACATTATATGTGTTTGCAAGTTTCAAATCCACATTATATGTGTTTGCAAGTTTCAAAATTCTAACTGTAGACTCATTGTGGCCATGGGTGGTATGAGAAAACCGAACTTTGAAGATTTCCAAAAAAATTGCATGGCATGACCCAACTGATATGCCGACATCCTCAGTAGCTTCGACGATTCTCCATAACAATTTTCTTCACTTTCTCAACATTTCCATCGATTGTTGATGTGCTGGGGCGTGCAGATCGAGCGTCGTCATTCACATCTTCTTGACGTTCTATGAAAAGCTTGTACCACTTGTATATCACTGTCACCATTTCAAGTCTTTTTGAGCACTCAATTCTATTTTTCACACAAGATTTGATGCGAATTCTATGGTCAATTTTAGCATAAATCACCAAATACGCATAACAGTTCCTAACTTTTACGCCTCTCACCAACAAACTAAATATGCTATACAGCTGAAACTGTGAATATATGTTCGAAACGAGTGTACCAACATAAAATTTAAAAATCGCTAATCAAATGTACGTAGCCCGCGAAATTTGACTATTCACGTCATTTTATGAACAGTTCACAAACACTTCATTTGTTCTTCATTTGTTAACCAAGACAATAGGATATATATTTAGCTTAAATTCGAGTATAGACAAATCCTCTAGGTTCAAAATTCTTACCTGTTCCAATGAAAACATCCTCACCTACAATGCATTTGAATGAAAATAGAATATTGGGATGAACACCAGTCTTGCCAATTTCTTCAAAATGAGCTTGAGGCAACATCTGGTTGACCATCATTAAGGGATTAACCGTTTCAGGATTTTCTGGCATCTTTTTTGCCTGTTTGAGTTCGTGTACAGAATTAACTGCGCTCTGAAAGGCAAGATATATAATTAATCGACCACTGAAAATATTTTTGAAATTTTACTCACTCCATTCGAACCTTCTTCCCACGAACAGAAAAGTTTGAAGAGAGCGAATGAAACCACATGCTGCCACGGCAGAGGGTTCTGGGCATCTTCTTCTGATAAATCCATATTTTCGTTTCCTTCTTCGTCTTTCTTCATTTCTGTTAATTTATGTGATTTTACAAAATGTTTCAGAGCTGTTTCAGCAGCTGCATTTTTGGCTTGCATTTTGTTACGACCTAAAATGATTTTGGGCATTATTTTTCATCAATAAGGTGCTGGTTGTAATACAAATAGTTCATTTCACAATTTAAAAATCTAAAGCAAACATACTTGAAAAATCTACAAATTTGAAATGAATACTGAAATTGTTTCATATATTCAAATGAATTACTGTGTGCTCCTTCACTATGGCCAAATTTATTGAAATATGAAAAGCCTACTCTCAGGTGCAAGTTTAGGCAAATCAATAAATGAAATGACCAAAACGGTCAAACAAGTGTCTATCACCTAATCGTTTATCTACCACAGGTGTAACGCTAGATAATTCTTCATTATAAATTAGCCTGCTGACTCCATGTGGTGAATTATTCTATTAATGCAATGATTGCAATACAAGCATCATCATTAACTTACCAAATCCAACATGTTCTGATCCTTCATATACTACAGTAGCTTTGAAAGAATTTCCGTTAAACTTTGTGGGAAGTTCCTCAACGGCATAAGTAGTGTTCTTGACAAGTTCATTCAAAACCATGACTGCATTTTTGGGTTTCAGAGTTCGAGTCAACATCACATTGCGCCTACGCGTTCTTTCTTTCTTTGCAATTTTACCTGGAATGTTTCATATTATAGATATTATTACAGAAATGAGTATCTAAACAGCACAAACAATTCATCAGAAAAGATTCATTTCACTTATTGAAATCAATATCAAATTTGCACAGAGATTTGTCATCATTTTTCACCCATGACCAATAGATTATTATAATATTTATTTGTTAAGACTATCCATTATAATTAAATAATTTTCACAAACTTTTTTTTATTTCTCAAAGCTTTTCACTAACATCACAGCTTCCTTGCTACATTTTCTACTGATGAAGCTTGTTTGTGAAAATTGTTCAATTATTTTTATGGATAGTGTTATTAATTTTCATCCAGTAACAGGCCAGTGCATTCATTATTTGTTAAAATATACAATGTATGATGACAAAACCAAGTGTTCAAAATTCCAATAAACATAGTTGTTTTCTACCCATGATAATAATTATAAAATTTTCACAATCAATTTTATTAAAATGCATTTTGCTGCACGTGTTTGGTACATCAAACTTTTGGATGTTTTACATGTTGTAGATATATTTTATGTGAAACCAATTGCAAGAGTTGTTCAGTTATCCACGGTTTCATTATTATTTTCTTTTTTAATTTTCAATGTTCTAGTACACATATTTCAATAAAAGTTTATCATTATCAGTTTCATTCAAACATTAATTATCAAAGCTACTTTCAAATTTTGTAAAATCAATAGAAGTTTCGAATTGGTATTTGGTAATTTAATAAAATTGATTTATAAATATTCATTTGAAAAATAATCATTTTCTAATGATCTCAACTCTGTTAACCATAAGTATTAACGGTTTCGGGGCCTGGCAAATGGACCAAATTTAAGGCATTTGAAGATACACTTAAAGAACTAACCTTTGTTATGGTGCCAGAATGGCTTCTTTTTTACTTCAGTTGAAGTATCCATGGCTTCCATATCTGCATTTTCAGGGTTTTCTACAGAAGGAGCAAAGGCATTGTTCTGAGCTGGAGTGGTTTCCATTTCAATTTGTTGTTGCTGAGCCTGCTGTTGTTGTGTAACCTGTTGCTGTACAGCTGGTTGTTGCACTTGGGTCGGCTGCTGTTGCACTTGGGCCTGCTGCTGTTGCACTTGGGCCTGCTGCTGTTGCACTTGGGCCTGCTGCTTTTGGGCTTGCTGTTGTTGGGCTTGTTGCTGCTGCTGATTTGATTGTTGTAGCACCTTTGCCTGGGGTTGCTGCTGTTTAATCTGTGGTTGAGGTTGCTTTGCTTGCGGTAACTGTTGCTTAGCTTGCTGCTTGAGTATATTAAATTGAATATGAATATTGTAATAAAAGTTGAGATTATTTTATATGATTCAAGTGGTGAAATGAAGAGGCATGTTTACGGACGGTATGACCACACTAGTTATCACCCTTTTTGGGGGTGACAGCTGACAGCCAAAAAAGAATAAAATGTTTTGGATGGTTTCCGGGTTTTACCGTGGTCTTCTTTGGTTATGATTTCCAACTGAAACTTTTCAGTTGACACGTCGAGAAGAGTACTTCGACCATGTCACTAAAGACGACTGCCGCAGTTGCAGGCGAAACGTTTGGAAATAATATCCAAAGAAGACCACCGCAAAATCCGGAAACCAGCCAAAACATTGACGCCAGCCGTAAAAGCCTACATTCCAAAGAATAAAATATCTGTCCTATATACAGTGTGTTCTACTTAAGATGAACAGTCTTATGAATTGGTCTCGTGTGATACTAACCGATGGATTAAAATCTGCGTGTATGCCTAGGTATTTTTTGTTGGGATTGATAAATTCTAAAAACAAAAATCTAATTACCACCACATCCGGAAAATAATGAGAAAAAGGGGAAGTACATTGAAAAAAAAACTAGTAAATTTATATTGTAATTGTGAGATTTTACATTGAATTTATCATCAAATAATTTAGTAATTTGGTTTATCTACAAATTCAAGCAATAATTGAAATCAGAATTTTACTCAACTTTTTATTTCAATATAACAAGACTTCTGGAAATTAAAATTTAGAAAAACAAATTAAAATTTAGAATAAGGAATTCAAGTTTATTTATAAATTTATAAAGGAAAAGAAAAAATATCGCCTTTGTTATACTATTATGTACAAATTAGTTTTATAATTCCATATATTGTCCATATTTATAGTACTCAAATATTTTAAAAAATATCACTGGAAATTACAAAAAATATGTAATAAATGTATTACTGCTTTGTGGTAAATTTACAATATATATTATTAGAATATACTTGCAAAATCTGAATTCTACTTCTGTTAGCCAATAGCAAACAAGAGTTCAAACTGGAAGGGGATTCAGACCCGCTCTAGTCAGGTAGACAAGTTCTTGTAATTTCCCACCTAAATAGTAATTATAAAATTCCCAATAAAATGTATTTTCACAGCAATATCGTGCCAAAGAAATTGTGAATGTATTGAAAATCTACTTAGTCATACAAACGTTAGAAATTTTTATTTGTAGGCCATGAAACAAAGCAATTCAACTGACATTCAATACAGATATTCTGTTATTTTAACACAATAATTATAATTGTGTGTATTGTTGCCAGTTTATTGAGTTAATTTAGAAATGGCCATTGAATATGACGATGCTAGTAGTAGAGATTTTTAGTGAATTTATCAGATGCCATGTGCATGGGTGGGTTGTAAAATATGAAGCAGCAGCTAAGATAAACAGGTTAACAGGTGTTACAAAAAGTTGTTCTGGAAAATCCACTCAAGGTGTAATTATTTTGGCCTGAGCCAGTTAATATTCGAATTCTTGTATACTTTGATAGAAGGTGACAACAATGAATGAAGGGGTCAAGAAATATTTGTAAATCGTATCTACTTTTTAAGCAAAATTCTGAACAGGATGATAATAAAATTAGGACATTGAATTTCCACAAGTGGGAATTTTCTGCTGAAAACTGACATGTGAATCTAAACATAATATTCTAAACACATTTTTTAAGTAACTGTTTTCAATACCTCTAACATAAAGCTAGATGTTCCAAAACTGGCTTTATTCAACAACCACAGAAGATGGCGCAATGACATTTCGTCTATGCTGATTGCCTTAAAATTTGCATCTTGTGGAGGTCTAAAATCGTAGGTGAAACTATTTTTTTACAAAAATATAAGACTGTATTCATTCTGAGTGGGACACTGAAGGTACTCAAGGGTGCACAAGATCTAAAGTAATGATAAGTAATTCTAAGCCTTGAAAAATATATACAAATTCGACTGTTAAAAAGATGTTTACATTAAAAAAATTACTGTTTCAATGTAAATCTAAGGATAGAAATTAAGTGAAATAAGAATAAATTGAGGTCACAATTCGAAAGTATAAACAACTGCTAATATTGCAGGCATCTTTTCATCAACTTTAGATTTATCCAAGGCATTCACAATACTGAACTGTTTAGTGTACTTACGTTTGAGAGAATAAAAACAGTGCAGATTTATTTTGCACCAATATTTTCGCAAATTTTTCCAGATCAACATTTTAAAAGTAATTTTGCAACTACATAAAACCTCTCTCCCAATCAACTTTATTAATTCAATTAAATGTAGATAAAAATGAAAACGAAGGGAAATTTGAGATTCAAACAATCAAAATAATGCCCATTTTTCTTTTCAGAAGAGGCACTAAAACTTAATTGTTGAAGTTCTCTCCTGCTTTTTGTAACATCAAAGCAAACTATGTCACCTCAAACCAACGAGTCTTTCATCAACTGTTGGTTAGAAACCAAGATTCAATACTTTCATATCTTCCAGTTTCCCAATAGAATACTTTACCATTTGACCAAGGCAGTAGATGAAATTTCAATTTCGTGCCACTGATGGAACCATCTTAAGAAAAAGGCAACATTTTGGCTGCCAAATTCAGCAGTAAACTTTATCGAGAGGAAATTGTAGGTAAAGATGATAAAATGGAGATACACTATTCTTGTGAAGTTCAACACAACTACATCACAAGAATTGACTAACCAGAAAACTGATAGACCTATATCTGCTGTGAAAAATGTTTGTTATTGCTATGTCGAGAGTCATACGGGATAATCATATCTGTAATATTTCCAAAGAGGACTGCAAATAATGTCTCATCACCCATTACAAATCTCATTACTGATTCAAAATGAAAATTCTGGTAAAATTGTTCATATTGCAATAATATTCCATGGTAAATTTTTTTATCAGTCTGTCTGTCTACTATAATGGACTTCCATGTAAAAATGTATTGAATTACTGAAAACTGCCTTTCAAGTTTGGAAAGTAGCTTTTGAGAAAGCCTGTGCTAATGGGGAAATTAATTAGGAATTACTTTGCGATGCCACTAAAACTACTTCAGAAACTTATATACGTGTGTGTTCAAGATAAAGCGGGCCAGCATGGCAAAATCGGAAACCATCAAATATGTCTTAACTCAAAAAAAAGTTGATCTCTTCAGAGTTTATGTGAATGATGTTTTAAAATTTAGGAAATTCCAATGCATTCCAGAGCTATCAGAAAAGAAAAGGAACAAGCAAATATCGTTTCAACTTTTAATGTTATTAAGAACACATTAATGAATAAAAAACCCTTTGCCATTGATAGTTTCGGATTTTCATCAGACTTTTTATCTCGAAGGAACTACCACCAATTTCAATTTGTATGTAAAGGAAAAAAAATTTGTATGTACAGGTATAAGTCACCGTTTTTAGCGATACCTCCACTGATGCATCACCGTGATCAATTAGTGAATTTTGAAATGGAATTTGAAAATAAGTTCTAAAATAAGTAACTTTTCTGCTAATTTCATCGAATTTTTATTTCTTTTAGTCTCTGACTTGTCCACCCTAGCCCTTCTTATCTTGGACACATTGTAAATGGCATTTTTTTTTCTCTGAATATAGAAATATGATTTTCATTTCATCAAGTGAATATCTTTGATAAAAAAAAACAGAAAAAACAAACCTGTTCAGGTCCTTGATTTCTGAACTGGATGGATGTGTTTTGCTGTTGTGGTTGTTGTGCCCTCACTTGCTGTTGTGTTGCTTGGCCAGCTGGTTTATTCTATGAATTTAGCTACGTGAGCAGGTTTTACTTTTGAAAAACCTCTAAAGGTTCGAAGCATCAATATAGGTACATCTCTAACAGAGATGCAAGGAACATCATACGGTTAGAGATATCAACACGTTTTCTTATATCTTGACTCTAATTTGGTCAAATATACAAATAGCGGTCAGAATCGCAAATTAACGACACATTTGGTTTAAGTAGACGATTGAGAAACCCCCAACTCCATTAATATTTTCATCAGGTGTAAACATATGTTTACACATAATGAGAGCATTATTGTTGAAGAGCATTTCAAGAACACTCACTTTTTAAGTTACCAGGGAGAAATATTTTATTCTGTATCGCTAACTTCCAATAATAACTCTATTTAGCCTTGGTTGAAATTCAATTGTTTCTTCAAAACCGCACATTCATAAATCAAATAAAAAGCAATTGAAAAACAACAAATAATTGCAATAACACAAAAATAATAGTCAAGATATGTGACTGTTTGCTCTGCATAGTTTATAAGTACCAACATCTAAGTGCCATTAAAGTATGCCTGGCCTGAATGTTACTCATAATCTGTGCCTAGCAAACATTTCAAATAGGTGCCTATATAAGTGCTACTACCATGGCTCTGCATAGCATTACTCGATGATAGTACCTGGGTATCCATAAAAAACTGCAATTAGGCTTACTGACAGTCATCCAATTTTAATACCACAACATTCAATAATCAGTGAACCGTAATGGTAAATCTTCCTGAATACCAAATATTGGAAATAATACAAAATTTTCTCTGGGACAGACAAGAGGGATCAAGATATTTGAAATATTTCTCAAATCAATAACAGCGATTGTTATTTAACTTTTCATAACATTAAGGAAACGATTCAAGTGAATTTTGTCACATCCATTTATTTTAATGGGATGAAGGCATGTAGGGGCATGAAACAATAATATACCAATTACAAGTTAAACATTCCACTTGTATCCAGTCTTGTGGTTTCAGTTTCTAGGATTATACCAAAAAGTACAAATGCATCCACTTTCACAACACAAATATATACCAAACGACCCTGCAACATACCCATGGAAAAAGTAATTTCCGTTAATTTGGGTGATTTTTTTTATAAGTTACGTGTCTATGAACAAATAGCTCAATGAGTGTGAGTCCCAGAACTCAACAGATTCTAAGATATGTCGGTGGGGCTTATCTTGAAACTTGTCAATGAGATCAAATGATTGAGTCAATTATTAGTAAAACCAAAAGAAAACAATAGAATATAATTCGTTTATTGACTACGTTGTAAAAAAAATTAATAACGTGACATACACACAATATACAGTGTAACCTTAATATACAGTGTAATCTCAATATAACGACCCTCAATATAACGATTTCCTTAATTTATCGAATATTTCAAAATCCCCTACGAGAAAGAGTAAATGTGAAATAAACCTTTCTTTATATTACGAATACATTTGTCAAAACCATTTTTATTACGAATTTTAATCGTTGCAAAATATAAATAGAGAATATTATTTACCTTTATATAATGAATTTCATTAACCTCAACATAACAAATTGTATCAGTTAACCTACATTTAATTTGACAATAAAATTCATGTCTCGATAGGTTCAAACTTCAAGTTTTCATAAGGCAAACATTATTGTTTGGCGTTCAACGCTGTTTGAAACTGCTGTTAGTTTAAAGTTTGCAATGGCTGATAACCGAAAAAAGAGTTCCTTAATGGTTGCAGAACAAAAAATCATTAAATATGTAAATGAGAATCCTTTAATGAGAAAAATTGACATTGCCAAAAAGTTCGGAATTCCCACAAGCACATTTAAAGTTTAGAGATATTACTTTGATTACTTATTATGTAACAAAAAACTGTTTAACTATTTTTAAATAAAAATACAGTATTTTCCCTATAACAGGGAAAGCATATAATTAATTACGTAAAGTTGATATTAATAAGGAACCTCATTGCAACAAATTAATTGATATAACAAATCATTTTCTAAGTCCCCTCAGTTTTGTTGTATCAAGGTTACACTGAAGTATGATCAAATGATGCAAACAGTGAAATTTTATTAGTGTATCGACTGATATCCCATTATATTGACTTCGGCAACCTCATCTTGGGACCCACTGAGTTTTGCCAATTGAAACATTTGTTCAGGAAGACCAGACATGTGACATATAAATAGCAATATTGAAATTTTTAATAAAAGTGTGGAATAAACATATATTACTATGGTTGTAAATGTTTTGAAGTGAAGTATCATTTCTATTCTCTATTTTCTTCTACATAAATTTACTACAGCTCTCTAATCAGTTCATTAATATGATAGAACTGACCGATACTTGATGAAAATCCATTATAACGTATGGAGTGTCATGACGCCTGAAGAGGCTATTGTATAGCGAGACATGTGTTGCATTTTGGTAAACCGTCAAGTGGAAATCTCACATTGAAGTGTTATTTTTTATACTTAGTTCACTATTATAATTCCCAAGAAATAACAGTTCATAATGGAGATCATTTTCAATTATAAAAAAGGAAAATTATTTAAACAAACATATTCACTGAATAACGACAGTTTGAATTAAAATGAAAAATGTGTATATTGTGAGGCCTTAGGATAGTAAATATTTTAGATAATACATTTAAATAATTTGCCAGCTGATAATGAAGGAAAAGGTGAAAAATGTGTACATGTCCATTTCAGAAGTTCACATTCAGCAATAAAAACTTTCCATTGAAGCCCCTCACTGACTAAATACATAGATATGAAATAAAATATTGACTGGAATATATCTAAAATATATTAATGGCACAGACTAGTGATATTATTGTAAGAGGGGAATTGAAGTTCTAGATTTTTGCAGAAATAAAAGTTTTGAATTTGGTGAAAATGATAAATTCAACAATGAGTAATGACAATAACTAATAGTTATAAGATATTTCCCAATGACCATCAGGCGAACCTGTGTACTTTGAATGTACTTTAGGTGCCAATTAATTTACTCAAGAAGACAGCAGGTAGCATTCGTTCAGAGGGAGTATTCCTGTTGTAGTTACAAAAAACAACAAAAAAACAAAATAAGCAGACACGTTCATATTTGTGTGTGTGATAGTGATGATGAAACTGATATAAATTCGAGACAAAGTCCTCCTGTATAAAAAATATGAGAGAAAGCTTCATACTAGAGATGTTTAAGAAGAAAAAGAGTGTCTCACATTATATCTTGACAGGTTGTAAAAAAACTGCCCTACGAAGTACATAGTAATTGGAAATTTGTTTTTCCCAATATTCAAGATGATGAAGATATTCCACACTCCCCAGACCCACTTTTGTACTGAGTAGAGTTTGGCCTAGGACGTAAATAGGTGAAAGATGAAAATGCTATGCTCCAAAAACTGATCAGATATTTTTGTCAAGAGAAATTTCCTAGTTGAATTTGGGTTGATTTTGCTATCTTAGTTACATTTCTAATCAGACTGCTGGCCCAATAGAATAATGATATTTATTAATATCTACCCAGAACGAGACTAATGACGATAGCAAAACAAATGTATTTTTTTTAAATGCTATTTCACCTCAATGCATATGAAACTATCCCACACAAGTCAACAACCATGATTTCACTTTGGCCATAGCTTGGTAATGCTGCTTGCCATAAAGTTATGCAGATGCATCAGGTAAAGTTATCCTGAGCTATAAAAAAACAATTTCATGCTAACTGGGGAAAAACTAAGCTATACCAGACGTCACTCCCGCAGTTTACTTTACCTCCCTTATCCTTATTTTTTCTTCATACATTCAAAATTGCAAAACTCTACACAGTAAACATAAATATACACTCAATAGTAGTTTATGATAAGGCACACTTTAAGAAATGAAACGTCTTCAGTACACTCCATATAAAACCCATTTAAAAAAAACACCCATTTAGAAACAAAAAAGGACTCTATGCCGGTACATAGTAGTGAAAAGAAAAAATAGATACTTACCTGTCCACCTGGTACAAAATTGTTTGTTACAACAGGCCTACGTTGGCCGATATTGCCCACATTTTGTTGCTGACCTGTGAAAACAAAATTCCGTCAACCCTCTAGTGAATCTGAAGCCAAACCCAGTAGGCGAGGATGTTTCAACAAGATCATCAATTTTACTTACCACCAAATCCACCGCCTCTTCTAGTGCTATAAGACATATTTCAACTCTGTTATTAACAAGGGCGTCAACAAAACACAGAAAAAATACTTGAATATCCAAAACTCGAAAATACTGTGCCTTTCCTCCTCGAGTGAAACGCAGTAAACACAGAAACAGAAAACTCTCAAATGGCAGAAAACAAATTGACGTTTGGAATTATGTGGTTAAAATGAACTTATATAAGAGGGTAGTCAAAACCAGTTATGCCAATCGAATGAGGGCCATCATCAGCAAAACCGTCAGAGGGCGCTAGAAGTGCCTGAGTGATGGATGCTTGATTTTGACTTGCTTTATGGAAAAAATGTTCGTTTTTCGATATTTTGACATATGAATCAGCTGTAAATAATATGCCCCTAATTCTTTCGGACGTATTCGATCCATGAGTAGTTCCGATCATAAATTTACAAATGATAAACAAATTCTTACCAAAGGGTTTGTCGAGTGCAAGAAAATTTTAACTTCGAATGAATACGAGTTGGCAAGGACATTTATTTCGAAAGGAAAATATAAAAAAATTATTGAATACAGTGTGAAAAATATAGTAAGTTGAAAAAATGAATAATACCAGTCATCAACCGAAGGCGATTTTGGATACTAATGAAATCGAAACGTCGTGAAGTTGTTCGATTTGAAGTATTCATTCTTATTACCTCTTTTCATCATTTGTTTTTATCATTTCATCTCAATTTTCATTATTACATTTTTTCAATGTATTCTTTTTTAACTAGGTTATTGAGTCAGAAGTGAGTGGGCCTATTCAACCTTCCACCCTTTTTCAACTAGCTCATAGATTTCATTAACTGAGACTATGCTGCATAAGTTGCCACCTTACCGCTCAATACCTTCCGACCTAGTATCGCTGGTCTTCAACCTTCCTTCTTCAAAATATTTTTCAACTCCTCGTCGCATAATTTAAATTCTCATTTTGTTCATTTGTTAATATCGAATAAACCACGAAAACTGACCTCCAGTGTTGCCAATGGTATATCTACAAAATATACACATCATCCAACCAAAATACCCGATTGTAACAGCACGCTATTTCTAAATACTCACATATCATCCCCTTTTTGTGTTGAGGCTTTTAAAACTCCTTTTTTCCACAAGAAAAAAATAGAATTGAATATTCTACGTACATAAAAACATATATATAAACGGAGTCAACAACAGGAGCCAACCGCACATTTGTGGTTCCAGTTAGAAGACCTAGAATTCCCAGGCTACATCTAACATGACCACGGAGGCAGCGTGACATCCGGGTCCAGGATATAAATACAGATAGAGATTTTATCGAGTGTGTATGATACAAATCAAGAATGGAATAATTCGTGGACACAACACTCAAAAAATAGGGGGGCAAACCGCGGACACGTGTTTCTGGCTATTGGCCTCATCAGCGCGGTGATTCCAAAAAATGTATTCAGGTGAAATTCTTTTCTTGAAAGTAATTTATTTAGATCATACGTACTATTGAGTTTCATTCAATAGAAAGGTACCTACTGATGTCATTCAGTTTTATTATTTTTTGATATAATGTGAACATACACATAAAAAAAACAACATAAAAAAATGTCGGTGCCGTTCACTACCGATATGTCCATGTCGTGATATGGGTTGGAGCCCTATTTTCGAAGGTGAATTGAAATAATAAATAAAGGTGGTAGGGTTTCGAGAGTTTGGGACTATGTAATTGAATAATTCCTCCTCTGTTAAAATCTATTTTCAATTCCTCAATTGTTGATAGTTTTTGAGATATGAACGAATAACTGAATGTAATTTTTTTCGCCTCAATTTGTTAATGATAATTGCAATTTACTATTACTGTAAATTCAGAAGTGGGTTTGCTTGGCCTTTTCTAATTCAAAAAAGTTAATCTCAAGTAATATACCAAAAATCAAAATTTAATGAGCGAAATGGTTCAAATCGTTCAACTAGTTTGTGGAAAAGAAGTGATTAGATTACAACAGTATAATGTGAGATCTAACATTTCATCAATTGAATTCAATATCAATTGTCATAATCTCACAATCGTCATGTGAAAATATTTCTGGAGCATGTTATATTAATCGCTTCATTACTCTGATAATGCCAACTAAGTTCATTTGTAGATGAAACCCATTGGAAAAGGAAGCAAATATGACAAAAATAAAATGAAAAAAAATTACGGGCGATCTAAGCTCGGAAAATGGAAGGGGATGAGTTAAAAGTAAAAAACGGTTTTTCCGGCAAAATTACAAGTCCTATGGAAAGAAAGTTGAATGGCAGAGTTGTAGGTAATAAAAAGATCTACAAGTAACTTTTTTCACATAAACTCAAAATTTATGCGAAGAATTCAAAAAACCAATTTTTTGGTATTTTATTTTTATATTCTACTGAAAAAAGCACCCTGATTTTCAATTGAAAATTCACACGTAAAAATATGTTTAAAAAAATCTATGTGCTTCTTGTTCCTTAAGATCTCTACTCTTTGATGGTGTGAAAAAAGTATACATTACTATTGCAAATTGTCTCAGAAAATGCAAAAAAAAGGAAAACATTGAAATTAGTTTGGATAGTGATTCAAGATGATTATAGTTACAAATCAAACACTTAAACATATAAACGTCAATTTTGGTAAAATTATTGTGAATCTAATGAATAAATTCCTTTTTTTAATTCTAAAATTCTGATTTTGTACCAGGCCGGTACATGTGATCACAAAATAGGTTATAATATTAATTTTGAAAGAAAATGGAGAAGAAGAAATAAATGACATGACAGTTCAGAAAACAATTACATTGTTGGATTCAGTATTGCCAAACTTTCATCCTATACAGGAATGCCAATTTGATTAATTATTTTATGTACTATATTCTAATAAATTCATCTTTATTGTTTTTTATACCATTATACCATACCATTTTATACCTTTATACCATTTTGATTTGATAATTTACAACTAAAAATAATAGCTTTGTGGTCAGAGAGATGTGTCTCAATTACTGATGCTTTATAACCTATAGTGAAATTTGATAAGATGTTATCTAGACAATTGTTTATTCAGTCTTGTATTTTCCGTGACAGTGATATTAAAGTTATTTATCAGTAGGAGATCTATTTTCTATTAAATTTTATGTTGAAATCACCATTTATGATAACATCGTACTTTTCACCTTTCCATAATAGATTGCTGAACACTTCAAGAAACTCTGAAAATACCCCATTTGGAGATCGATAAATAGTAACAATAATGATATTTTTATCAATAATTTCAATTGCCGAGATTTCACGTTAAGGCCTTTTCTTACCAAAATTGCAGTGCCACCATGGATATGAGCATTTCTGCAGTAATAAGAATCAATTTTAAAACCAGATATGTCAAGAAACAGTTTCAATTTCATTTAGCAGGGTTTCACTGAAACACAAAATGTCAAATGAAGTTTTTTGGTGATAATATTCTAGAAAACTCTCAATCTCATCTAGTTTATTTCGAATTGATTAAACTTTTTGATAAAAAATATTCAGGTCCACACTTTTTTCCTGGGTTTGTTCCATTTGAGGGTGATGCCTATCAGCTTAGATGGATTTGTATTTAAAAATCCGTGTTTCTCCTTTGATAACTATGGTATCTATTAAAGTCAAAACGTTTGTAAGCTATGCTTCCTGGTCAAGTTGATTGTAGATTTCATCCTTAAGATCGAAGTCGATACCAAACATAAAACATTTGCTTTGTGATTCATTTGTGGGCAGTTCTTTTATAATGATATCAGCATGTTTGGAAATGTTCTGATCTTTGATATATGTTGTTATTTTATCCGAGGTAACATGACGTTTGATTCGGTACAGATACAGCCATACTTTTTTACCTATGCCAAAATCCTCATGAGTTTCATTTTCTCCAATATTTTTTAATATACTTCCTTTTTTGTGTATTTTTGTTTGAAAGTCCTCAGATTCACGATATTTTTGCGGTTCATGATCGTGATAAATTATCTCATTCATAATATTTAACTGAGCATCAAGTACACTTTTTACTATAGGTGCTTTTTTTTCAATTAATGATTCAGATTTCCCCTCTTTGTCCTGGACTATTTGTGAAGATTCAATAGGTATTTCCTCTGAGTCATTGTTTAATTGTAGTACAGGTGTATTTTGGACTTGTTTTTTTGTAGTATCTTGAGTTTGGGATTTCTTCAAGTGCGGTTTATCAGTTGACTTTTTTGTTGATTTTAGTTTTTCTTCCAAAACAGTGATGTTTTGTTTCAGCAACTGATTGTATTCTAGTAGTAAATTATATTCATCATTTTTTTCTTTTACTAATTTATGCATAAGTTGATTCTCTAGAATTAGAGTTTCATTTGTTATATTGCTAACTTATTTACATGAATTGTAGTGATAATTCCATCCTGGTCACAACACTTTATTCTGGTGTCACATAGCTTGATGCATTTTAATTTGTGTCTAACTGCACAAGATGTATGAAATACATTTCCACATTTTACGCACACAAGAACTTTAGTATGTTTGGTCTGACAACACTTAAATCTACTAACAATTGAATCGTTGTGAAATAACTTTGTTTGGAACCTTTTAATTTTCATTTGTTATTTGTTTTAATTTTCAGCTCGTGTTGTTATTTTTTTTTTTTGGTTGTTGCTTGTATGTTATTTCATTGTAATTTCAGTTATTTTCTTAATAAAATTGTTATTTTTCAGCTAATCTTATTAATTTTTTACAAATTCTTTCACGGATTTCAAATCAATTTATATCATCATAGACAATGGAAGTCCGAACTAATGAAATGCATCACTTTTTTGTACAGTAATGGAACTATTGCAAATTTTATAACGAATCACTTCATTTCCACTTTTTTGATATTGTAATTTTAATTTTGCTAACCAACTTCAAAATTCTGGAATTTCTTCCCATGATTGGCAATATTTATTCAACTTATGTATTTTGAGCACTTTTCTTTATTTCAAAATAGTGTGCTCAGTTTAAAATGAAAGAGGAATAATTTCCTGTTTACATTTTTATAATACATAGGGACCTTAAGTGTGTTCACCACACCTGACCCGTGCCTCTCTGAAGACTTATAGGGTTGTCGCTCGTAGAGGGACGATAATCTGTTAAGTCAAACTCACTGATAAGCCTTGCTGGGAGATTCGGGCGACATGTTTTCTGGTTCATACATCACTGATTTAGGAATGAAAAAATTGCAATTTGTTAAACTATACTATTTTGCTCAGGTCAGCAATCACTTGTTATATTTAACTTTTTGTTAGAGTTTCTTGAAAATCTTTCATTTTCAAATAATTCATTATCCAAAAAAACTGGTATTGATGAACTCATTAAAAAAATATGACAACCATTGTATTTTTTCTTTCAGAATATCTAAGGAGATTTTGGGAGTAGCAATTTCAAGCATAGCTAAGTAATTGAAGTGATCAACATAGTGAACTTCTTTTGAATGTGTAACGATGCATAAATAAAGCGATCAGTTATCATGTTACATCGTTTAATCCAATCATAAAAACGTTTTAAAATTAAATATCCCTAAGTCACAATAAACATAAATAATTTCTTGTATATACATACTTTCCTATAACACTAATTCTGCATAATAAGATACACAGTTTCGGTCCAAATCACTAGTTAGATAATGGAAAAAATCACAAACTTGGGATGAAAAATGCTCCTCACTTAAATTCATCTCAACTTAGTAATTAGGGATATATACATCTTCGGGATAGTTTATTCCCAAAATTTTATGGCATGCTCCATAAGCTGCCATCCGCTTGGCTGCTTTCTTGTTTGGACCTGAAAAATAAAAACACCTCATAACATTATTGAACTAAGATATCTTGTATAGATATCGATTTTGAGATGCAGAACAATTTCTAATTTTAATTATGTAGTCCTCTATGCTCTTCTTTTACTCTTGTTACCAATACACTATTTTTTCTCTAACATGATAAAAAATTACCAAACAGATGAATCTGTTTAAAATCTGTTACACGGGTTGGACGGTAGCAAATGAAGATCGATCGTTCAGACTAGGGCTTGAACCACCGACCAACACGGCAGTCAATTCGAGTGAGTGAACAAAGCACCCACGCCGAACCGCTTGGCTACCGACTGACCTATGGCAGGGATCATGATATATATATATATATGACATGCTCAGGGTTGCCCCTTTCCTTTCATGCAGACCTAAAATATATTCAAATTGTGCCCATAAATCAAAACTTTTAAATGGTGTGTTTACAATGATATAGAAATGTTTTGTTTTTTTAACATTTTTATGGGTATTTTCATCTATGATCTAAAAATTTTATTGAAAAGAAACTTTTATAGAACAAAACAATTATGACCTGTTAGATTACAACAAAAACCATGATAAAAAAATATGTGAAAATGCTTTAACCGCTGTAAGATGGAAGACAAGCCTTGGTTACATTTTGGCGATAAATTGTGAAATATGAACATACTTTTTAATTTACTTGCCAATTGTCAAAAATTACTTGTAACCTAAAGTGATTCAATGATTCATAAACGTTTCAAGTAAACAACTCGTCACATAAACTGTCATCAAAATCCTGACTTCTCCACCGAGTTCAGCAGGTTCTGGTTTAACACCTCCCAGAATTGCAGGAAATTCAAGTTCTAGTAGACTTCTCAAAACTCTACCTAATGAAAAAAATCCAATATTTCCAAAAATATATGATCATAAGGGTGCTTCCATTTTAAATTGATGGAAACATACTACTTACTATACACGGTATAAACCGATTCAGGATAACTCCCTATAACTTTTGTCTCTCCTGGTATCAATGTCAAACTTTCAACAGAAAATTCAAATGTTGCACTTGTTAACCAAGAAAATGAAAGATGTATTTAACGTAAAATTCGAGCACAGACAAACTCTCTAAGTTTCAAAAATTCTTACCTGTTCCAAGGAAAACATCCTCATCTACAATACATTTGAATGAAAATAAAACATTGGGAGGAACACCAGTCTTGCCAACTTCCTCAAAATGAGCTTGAGGCAACATCTGGTTGATCATCATTAAGGGATTAACTGTTTCAGGATTTGCTGGCATCTTTTTTGCCTGTTTGGGTTCGTTTACTTTAGAACTAACTGTGCCCTGAAAGATAAAATATTTGATTAATCGACCACTAAAAATACTATTTCAATTTTACTTACTTCACTCAAACCTTGTTCCCACGAAGAGAAAAGTTTAAAAAGAGCAAATGAAACCACATGCTGCCACGGCAGAGGGTTCTGGGCATCTTCTTCCGATAAGTCCATGTTTTCATTTCCTTCTTCATCCTTCTTCACTTCTGATAATTTATGTGATTTTACAAAATGTTTCAGAGCTGTTTCAGCTGCTGCATTTTTGGCTTGCATTTTATTACGACCTAAAATAATTTTCGGCATTATTTTTTTGGATGTAATAGTTTTTCACAAATTAAAAATCTGATGCAAACATACTTGAAAAAATATACAAATTTGAAATGGACACTGAAACGTTTCAAATATTCGAAAGAATTACTGTGTGCTCCTTCACTATGGCCAATTTTATTGAAATATAAGAAGCCGACTCTCAGGTGCAAGTTTAGGCAACTCAACAAATGAATTGACCAAAACGGCCAAACAAGTGTCTTACCACCTAATCGTTTTATCTACCACAGGTGTAACGCTAGATAATTTTATATTATAAATTATCCTGCTGACTCCATGTGGTGAATTTTTCTATTAATGCATTGATTACAATATAAGCAATTCATCCCAACTTACCAAATCCAACATGTTCTGATCCTTCATATACTACAGTAGCTTTGAAAGAATTTCCGTTGAACTTTGTGGGAAGTTCCTCAACAGCATAAGTAGTGCTCTTAACAAGTTCGTTCAAAATCATAACTGCATTTTTAGGTTTCAATGTTCGAGTCAACATCACATTGCGCCTACGCGTTCTTTCTTTCTTTGCAATTTTACCTGGAATGTTTCATATTATAGATATTATTACAGAAATGAGTATCTAAACAGCACAAACAATTCATCAGAAAAGATTCATTTCACTTATTGAAATCAATATCAAATTTGCGCAGAGATTTGTCATCATGTTTCACCTATGAAATGTAGATTATAATAATAATATATATTTGTAGAGATTTACAACATATGATGACAAAATCAGGTGTTCAAAATTTCAATAAACATAGTTGTTTTCTATTTCACAAGAAATTGTTTTTTTTTTATATTCATTATTTAAGCTTTTTTACACTCTGGTATATCACAATCTAATCAATTTTTATATTGTTTTATTGTTCATCAAAACATATTGTAGATATATTTCATGTGAAAACCAACTGCAAGAGTTATTTAGTTACAGAGCTTCATTATTCCTTTTTTCATTTGTAATTTTTAATGTTTCATGCATCTTAACACATTCACTGCGAATGACGCCAATTGGAGGCATCTGGTCATTCTACTTTGTGCGACTGACGCCTTATAGCGCACATGTGTTTCTCTCAATAAATGTGTTAGTATTCAGTCCGCACTGAACAGAAGTAGTTGTATTTCAGTCCGCACATTTAAACAGTATTGTTCCAGAGATTTCGGGGTGGTTCGTAATTTTGTGAATTTTAAAACTTTCTACAGCTTATTTAAATATGAGTGAAGTAGACAATAATCTGGCAGGTCCTTCGGGTGTTAAAAGATGTAAAGTGACAATAAGAGATCCAAATAAACTAACGGTTGATGAAATGTTACAGTTAGTGGACTGTTCAGATGACGAAGATTAAACTTTTGAGCTAAGTTCTGATGATGACCTTGAGTCAGAAAGTGAAGGGGAAAATTATGGTAATTTATTTCGTTTGTTTTTATTGTTTTGTTTACTGTATAAAGATGTTTTCTGTTCGTCATACGTAATACGGCAGAAGAAACAATCGACCAAGAATACCAGGTAACATTCAATACTGACAAAGAAAGTTGGCGAGATATTTGTTTCGGTATGAAACATTTTCCTTTTACTGAAACCATCGAATGCTTGTTGACCTTCAGACAGAGGCGAAACCCTTAGACTTTTTGTTGATAATGGGTTTCTTGAAAATATCATAACAGAAACGAATAAGTATTCAGAAAACTTGTTTTTGTGTCAAGGGGTGGTAATGAAAAGACTAGGATAACTGATTGGAAAGATCAAAAAGAAGAAGAGCTCCTGAAGTTTATTGGTTTGGTGTATCATATGGGCAATGTGAAACTGAACAAACTTCAAAACTATTGGAGGACCAGTCGGCTATTCAATTTCAAATGTTTTACGGATCACATGAGCCGGGATAGATTTTTGGCGATACTCCGGAGTTTGCGTTTTTCTACGAATCCGGATCCAAATCAACCCGAATCAAACGGCCGTCTGTATAAAATTAGACCAGTTATAAATTATTTCAATGAGAAAATGAAGGAACTGTATTATCCCGGAAAAAAACTCTCTCTGGACGAATCTTTGGTTTTGTGGCGAGGTAGACTATTGTTCCGGCAGTACATTGCAAATAAGCGACATAAATATGGACTGAAGTTGTAATGTTGACAAAAAAAGGCAAATGTAATATAATTTAATTTTGTTTGAAAATGTTTTTTTACTTGTATTTTTTCCAGTTGACCATTTTTACCCACTAACGCCATATGGCGTCATCCGCACATATCCTTGAAACTCTGGTACTGTGCGTAGGACGCCAATAGGCGTCCGAGCCTGATTTTTGTATAAATGAATAATTACTGCTTTTTACAAAAAAAAAACATTAGAATAGCATACAGCCCCAAACACCTTATTTAAAAAAATAAACATTCCCCGCACAGGAGTAGAGTCCTTAATTATTTTACGCATCATATCAGTTTCATCCAACAAAACTTCTCAATTTTCAGAGGTTAGGGTATTTCAAAGTTATGCAAAATCAACTAAAGTTTTATATTGATTTTTTGTCATTTTCTAAAATCGATTTATGATTATTATTCATTTGGAGCATAACTGCTATAAACGAAAAGACACCTCAATCATTTTCTAATGACGTTAACTCTGTTAATGATTTCGAAACCCTGGCAAATGGACCAAATTCGAAGCATCTAAAAATACACTTGAAAACGAACCTTTGTTATGGAACCAGAATGGCTTCTTTTTTACTTCAGTTGAAGTATCCATGGCCTCCAAGTTTGCATTTTCTACTTCAGGGTTTTCTACAGAAGGAGCAAAGGCATTGTTCTGAGCTGGAGTGGTTTCCATTGTAATTTGTTGTGGCTGAACCTGCTTCTGTTGAGGCTGTTGTGTTACCTGTTGCTGTACAGCTTGGGTCGGCTGCTGTTGCACTTGGGCCGGCTGCTGTTGCACTTGGGCCTGCTGTTGTTGCACTTGGGCTGGCTGCTGTTGTTGAGCTTGTTGCTGTTGCTGATTAGGTTGTTGTTGCACCTTTGCCTGGGGTTGCTGCTGTTTAATCTGTGGTTGAGGTTGCTTTGCTTGAGGTATCTGTTGCTTAGCTTGCTGCTGTTGAGTATACTTATTTGAATATGAGTATTGTAATAAGATTCACGTGGTGAAATGAAGCATAGTTAGGGACGGTATGACCACTATGGGAATCACCGTGACATCTGTTGAGCTGATAGTAAAAAAATAAAATATCTCAACAATGTTACCAAAATGTTGGCTGCCAAATTCAGCAGTAAGCTTCATGAGAAGATTGTAGGTAGAGATGATAAAATGAATAAAATTCTTGTGAAGAGTCATATGGGATAAGCATATCTGTAATATTTTCACAGAGGCACTGCAACTGTCTATCAAGTATTACAAATCTCAATATTCATGCACATGCAAAATAAAAGTTCGGACAAAAAAGTGTGTAAATTACATGAAATATGATAATGGACTTGAAGGTACAATAACAACAATAACGTTCTGTGGTGAGGAGAAACAGAAAAATAATAAGTGATGTATATTATTCAAACATTTTTTTTTACTCAGCGTCTGTCTACTATAATGGACTCCATGTAAAAAATGTAATAGGTTACTGAAAATTGCAATCCGAGTTAAGAAAGTAGCTTTTGAGAAAACCTGTGCTATTGAGGAAATGAATGAGAAATTACTTTGCAGTGCCACTCAAACTACTTCAGAAACTCATGTATGTTATGTTCAACAAGGGCCAGCTTGGCAAAATCAGAAACCGTCAAATATATCGGTTACCTTGGGAAAATTAAGTTTATGCGAATGATATTTTGAAATTTAGGAAGTCGCATTGCATCCCAGAGCTATCAAAAAGCATATTATAGCTTGGAAGAAAATCTTGAAGACATATTTTGAGCAACTGAATCTTTGAGGTAAAATGGACTGATTTATTTTACATGTAAATCAATTCTTAACTGCTTTGTAGAATCTTATGTCCTGTCTACATGTAAGCATTAGACCCCGTATTGTTCCATTTTTACAATTTATATATACAGGATAAATATCACCCAGTATAGGTCACCGTTTTTAGCGACACCTCCACCGATGCATCACCGTAATCAATTAGTGAATTTTGAAATAGTTCTAAAATAAGTAACTTTTTGCTAATTTGATCGAATTTCTATATCTTTCAGTCTCCTACTTGTCAACACTAGCCCTCATCTTGATACATTGTAAACGGCATAATTTTTTTCTCTGAATATAGAAATATGATTTTCATTTCATCAAGTGAATATTTTTGATAAAAAAAAAAAACAGAAAAAACAAACCTGTGCTGGTCCTTGATTTCTGAACTGGATGGATGTGTTTTGCTGTGGTGGTTGTTGTGCCCTCACTTGCTGTGGTGATGCTTGGCCAGCTGGTTTATTCTATGAATTCAGCTATGTGAGCAGGTTTTACTTTCGAAAAACCTCTAAAGGTTCGAAGCATCAATATAGGTGCATCTCTAACCGAGATGAAAGGAACATCATACGGTTAGAGATATCAACACGTTTTCTTATATCTTGACTCTAATTTGGTCAAATATATAAATAGCAGTCAGAATCGCAAATTAACGACACATTTAGTTCAAGTGGAAGATTGAGAAACCCCCAACTCCATTAATATTTTCATCAGGTGTAAACATGTTTACACATGATGAGAGCATTATTGTTGAAGAGCATTTCAAAAACACCCACTTTCTAAGTTAACAGGGAGAAATATTTTATTCTGTATCGCTAACTTCCAATTATAACTCTATTCAGCCTTGGTTGAAATTCAATTGTTTCTTCAAAACCGCACATTCAAAAATCAAATAAAAAGCAATTGAAAAACAACAAATAATTGTAATAACACAAAAATAATAGTCAAGATATGTGACTGTTTGCTCTGCATAGTTTATAAGTACCAACATCTAAGTGCCATTAAAGTATGTCTGGCCTGAATGTTACTCATAATCTGTGTCCAGCAAACATTTTTAAATAGGTGCCTATATAAGTGCTACTACCATGGCTCTGCATAGCATTACTCGATGATAGTACCTGGGTTTCCATAAAAAACTGCAATTAGTGTTACTGACAGTCATCCAATGTGAATACCTCTACATTCAATAACCTTAATGGTAAAACTTCCTAAATACCAAATATAAGAAATAACACAAAATGTCCTCTGGGACAGACAAGAGGCATCAAGAGATTTGAAAGCTTGGTCAAAACAATTGTTATAATACTCGATGACATTGAAGAAACGATTCAAATGAATTTTGTCACATCTATTCAAATAAATGGTATAAAGGGAAAAAAGGATAAAATGTGGATACTTCAGTATAGGGGCATGTACAAGTTAAACATTCTACTTGTATCCAGTCTTGTGGTTTCAGTTTATAGGATTATACCAAAAAGTACAAATACACCTACTTTACAACACAAATATAAAACAAACGACCTCACAACATGCCAATGGAAAAAGTAGTTTTCGTTAATTTTGTTGAGATTTTTATAAGTTATGTGTCTATGAATTGATATCTCAATGGATACAGGACTGAAAACTCAACAGTTCCTAAGATTAGGCCTGAAGCCATTTATTAGTGAAATCGGTATAACATATTTATACTGGTGGGCCTTACTTTGAGACCTGCAAATCAAAGCAAATGACAGAGTCAATTACTAGTAAAACCGATAGAAAACAATATAATAGGATCAATTTATTGACTATGTTATATAAAAAAATATTTGTAGAAAGTCAAGTAATAAAATACACACGAAACATGTGTTGCTGTTTGGCAAATTATCAAGTGGAAATCCCACATTGTGTTTTTTGAAAACACAACAAAAGTTTTGAAATTGGTGAAAATAATGAATTCAACGATGAGTAAGGACAATAACTAATAGTTACAAAATATTTACCAATGAACCAACAGGTGAACCTATTATTGAATGTACTTTAAGTGCCAATGAATTTACTCAAGCAAGTAGCCATTCGTTCAGATACGAGTATCCCTGCCATAGATCATTTTATAGAACAAAATAAGGTGACACATTTGTGTGCGAGAACTCTGACTCAAGACATATAAGCTTACTACAAATTTAGAACAGTTATGATACAGCTATAAACAACTCAATTTTAATACTCCACTTTTTTATTATAAAGAATGTATCGAATATATGATGGTATATCTGTTTGATAGGTGCTAATTATGATTCCAACTCCCATGACCCACCTCTGTACTCATTAGAGTTTGGCCACTCTAGTGATTATAAGTTTCCTTCAAGATACAAATGCTATATTTCAATTTATACAGCATACATATGATTTTGTGGTAATCGCAATTTGATCAATTTTTTTTGATTATATACTAGTGCACCAGACTTATGATCCAAATATTGTCGGTCGGTACACAACCTTGATAATAATTGTAAATAATAAATTTTCTTGTTGAATTTGGATTGATTTTGCTATTTGATACTTTTCTGATGGGACTGCTGGCTCAGTAATATGCTACCAATTAACAATAAACACAAAGAGCAAGACTAAACCATATCAGTCAATGAACAAAATTTTTTTAATAAATGCTATTTCAATTCAATATGTATGAAGCTACCCCATACAAGGCAATAACTATGTTTCCACTTTGACCATAACTTGGTAATGTTGCTTGCCATAAAGTTGTCCAGAGCTATAAAAAAATCAATTTACTGCTTGGGAAAACTAAGCTATACCAGACGTCATTCCGCCAGTTATTTTACCTCCCTTATCCGTATTTTTTCCTTCATTCAGAATGAATAAAGTGTCAAAATTCAACATTTAAAATGGTGAAACTCTACACAGTAAACATATAAATATATACTTGATCAATTTCATGATAAGGCACATTTTAAAAACTAAAGGTCTTTAATATACCCCATATAAAACCCATTTGAAAGATATCCACTCAGAAACAAAATTTATGATAGAATAGAAAAACCGCCATTGACGGAAAATTCAAAATGGACTCCACCTACGACGATACAAAATAATGAAAAAAACAAAAACAGATAATTACCTGTCCACCTGGTACAAAATTGTTTGTTACAACAGGCCTACGTTGGCCGATATTGGCCACATTTTGTTGCTGTTGACCTGCAAACACGAAATTCCGTCAATCAAAATGTCACCCTTCAGTGAATCTGAAGCCAAGCCCAGTAGACAAAGATGTTTCAAGATTATTATTTTCACTCACCTCCAAATCCACCGCTTCTTCTAGTGCTATAAGACATATTTCAAACTCTGTTATTTACACAGACGGTGACAAAACACAAATATACTTGATTATCCAAAACTTGAAAATACTATTGAAATTATTTCTCCTTCTCGAGTGGAACACGCTCAAATTCAAACGACAAAGGAAAATGGCAGACACGAAATGAATGTTCGGAACCGGAAATGAAATTATGAATAAAGAGGAAAGTCAAAACCAGTTATGTCAATCGAATGAAGGCCACCATCGGCTGGCCGTCAGAGGACGCTGAAGGGCGAGAGATCAAGACGACACTTTAAAATTTAAAAAGCTGTTTTAAGTGCTGGAGAGATGAATGTCTAATATTGAAGTGTTTTATGAATTTTGAGTTCATTTTCCGATATTTCCACGTATAAATTAGCTGTCAACAATATGTCCCCTAATTGCTTCGGACGTCTTTGACCCGTGAGTATCACCGATTACAAATTTATAAATGAAAAACAAATTCTTACCAAATGGTATATCGAATGCAGAAAACTTTTTACTTCGAATGAAAACGAGTTGGCAAGGGCATTTATCTCGAAAGAAAAAAAAACAACAAAAAATTTGTGATGGACTGTTTGGAACCTTTGGTGTAGTAATAAATATTACTGGAGTTCTATCCCAACACCAAACCGTTATTTTTAACACCTCGACACGTGTTTAGGTCACCAAGTGATCATCTTCAAGTGGAAGATCAAACTATATATACATACAATATTGTCCTTATTTATACCATGAGTACTTGCGTCCTAACTGTCGTAAATTAATTTTACTTTTATTAATTTTACAATATTGTCTCATCTACTAGTCTTAAATTAATTTTACAATGTGGCCTTACCTAATAGTCAGGTAAATCTGATAAATAAAATATTATTTCAACAAGCTGTATATTAGGTATACAATTAGGTATTGGTTCACCATCGTTATTCATGATATTATTACGTTTACTCATTTATAAACTCTCGTAGGGATCTAGATGCCTGTTCTTGTTAACTTTTCTAACTAATCTTAATGAACTAAAGTCTAGGAAATGGTCTGTTTGCAAAATATGATGGGTGAATACTAATTTTTCTGGTCTTCCATATTTTGGGTGTGCTAATAAGTGTTCCTTATTTCTTATTCAAAAAGATCTTTTAGTCTGTCCATAATATTTTGCATCGCAGTTCCACCTAGTTTGTGGAAAGTTTTCTAAGGAACTGGGTGGTATTTAAAACAAGTCATGTACTATAGAGCCTTCTAGGAAATCCAAAGGATAAAGTTGAGAATTCAGAAAAGTCTGGAATTTACGAAATTACATCCCCAAAGTATGCACCATATGGGAAACTACTTTATTTAGGGTTTTTTGACAAAATGTTATTCTTGATAAAAAATTGTGCATCCCCTAAATCTAAACATGCACCAACAAAATACAGTAAAACACATGTTATATAAGAGGAGCCTTCAAATATTTGATTTTGAGACAAGAGTATCCTTATTTTGGAAAATCTCGGTAAATGTTATTTAAAAAAAAATGGGTAAAAAAATAAAACTTCAATTAAATGGTCATGACTTCAAATCTAGATATATTTTTTAATGCTGAACAACTTTTCTAAATAACGTTTCGTAAAATTTTTCAAAATAAGAGTACCTACTTCACTCTTGTCTCAAAATCAAATATTTAACGGCTCCTCGTATATTACGTGTGTTTTATTGTATTTCGTTGGTGTTTGTTTAGTTTTAGGGGATGCACAAACTTTTATCATGAATAACTTGTTGTCGAAAAAACCTTAATAAATATGTTTCCCTTATGGTGCATACTCTCTGGGGATGACGCTGTATATATAGTTCGATCTTCCTCTTAAAGATAATCACTTGGTGATCTAAACACGTCTCGAGGTGATGAAAATAATGTGTTGATGTTGGGATAAAACTCCAGTAATATTCATTACTACACTAAAGGTTCTAAAAGGTGCATCACAAATTTTTTGTTGATTTTTATTCGTTTTCATTCGAAGTAAAAAATTTCTTGCACTCGATATACCATTTGGCAAGAATTTGTTTTCCATTCGTAAGTTTGTGATCGTAATTGCTCACAGGTCAAAGACGTACGAAGCAATTAGGGGACATGTTGTTGACAGCGATTTTTTTTATGCGAAAATCTCTAGAAACGTACTCAAAATTCATAAAACACTCAAATCAATTTTTAAATGTTCAAATGTCGTTTTGACATCTCCCCTTCAGCGTCCTCTGACAGCCTAGCCGCTAGCCGATGGTAACCTTCATTCTATTGGCAAAACTGGTTTTGACTTTGCTCTTTATTTCCGGTTCCAAACATTGATTTGTTGTCTGCCATGTAATTTCGTAAATTCCAGACTTTCCGAATTCTCAACTTTATCCTATGGATTTCCTAGAAGGCTCTGTAATATATGACTTGTTTTAAATATCACCTAGTTCCTTAGAAATCTTTCCAAGAAACTAGGTCGAACTGCGACGCAGGTACCTAGCAAAGATATTTATGGTATAAATGAGGACAATATTGTATGTATATTTGTTCAATCTTCCTCTTGAAGATGATCACATGGTGATCGAAACACTTGCTAAAAATAACGCTTTGGTGTTGGAATGAAACTGTCAAGTAATATTTTTTAACAAAAAATTCAATAAACATAATATGAAAAATATGATCAGTCAACCCGTGGGTTGGGCTACCTATCGGGCGCGTCCCCAGGTGGCGGATAGGGGAACGGCCAGGGGACTGGAGGCCCTATCCGGGAAGCCAATGTGGCCTAACGGACGGGGTTGACGGACTCCTGGTCAGTGGCAGAAATAAGTAGGGTGAGGGGAACTGAAACCCCCCAAAAGCCCTGCAAAACATGCCACCGCGGACCAGCCTACCCAAGCTAAGATGTAAGGAATCGTGTCGACAGCTGAATGGCCGCAGGGTTATATGCGGTTACGAACGATCCCCTTGAGGAACCGGGCGAAACCTCATTGTAACTAGCCTTCCTCTGGTAATGCGGGGCTCTGCTAGAGGTGACCAACCCTTCCCTTGCTACTCGTGGGAACATACANGAGTCTTGGCCTACACCTGCCGATATAAAGGAGATGTCTCCCAGCGACCTGTCCACCTTCCTGGAAAGGACAGGATGGACGACGACCTAGGAGGACAACTCCTTGGGAGGATGTACAATGGGTCACATGTGGCCTAAGTGCGTGGGCTTACACTCACCCTCCCTACTCTACAGATACAGAGAGAGGATGATCAGTCAAAGAATATATAATAAATCAGAAAATAAATTGGCAATGAGTATAAAATTCAAAAAGAAAGTATACACCAATTTGCAAAAAAACAAATTATTGTGACTTGAAATGAAAAGAAATAACTGGATGAATCGAATAATAAGTTTGGATCAATAACACGTTAGCTATAAAAATGAAGATTAACCAGTTTGCGATTCTGGATACTCACACAATCGAAACGTCGTGAAGTTTGATTTGAAATATTTACTGTGGTAATTATTTTTAGATCTTTTTTTTAATCAATTTTCTTCATTTTGTCACCTCAATTTTCATTATTAATTTAATAATAATATATAATATCATATATTGATATATGTAGAAATCAATAGTAGTAATGCAATCGGTGCCATTAATGTGTTAGTCAACACGTCGCCAACTAAGGTATAAAATATATATATGCGAAGAGGTAGCTGTCTACGTTTTTCTATAATCACCTTGTTTTGGATTGCCCTCTTTGAGTGCCAAAACATTGTTTTGGCACCCAAAGAGGGCAATCCATTGACATAACATCTGACCTGACCGCCAACCAGGCGATTTGTCTACGACAATAGTTATTCCGCGACATGTGTCAACTGTCACAGGTATGGCAATAATTCTCAGGACTACTTGAATGGTGAGGTACACTACACTTGTCGATTTTATTGTTTTTTCTGTTATATATTTCAGCAACAAGATAACACCGTCGTTTCTTTCATATAAGCCAGCTCCTATATTACCCAATAGGTGGTAATAAGAGTTGATGTATGTCACAGAATTCTTGAACATATTAAATACAATGCCGGAAGGAGGGGGTTGAAGTTGTAGCGCGCAAGTAGCAAAATTCAAGTTCAATTTTAGTGTTTGAAAATATTGATGTCAGTATTAAAATTTAAGCCAAATATATTTCCTATTGTTTTAATCAATACCTCAGAATGAAGTAAAGCCCAAACAATTATCGACTGTTTTTTTTTTTAATCAGGGGTCACTGCGCGAGTGTCTGGGCTCTGCTCGCCACCACACTAGGGCTGCCAATTATAATTAGATATCCATAATCGCCTAACTTTGTTCATTTTCTTTTTTCTGTATATTATAAAATTTACTTCATCTGCAGATTGACACACCAAACTTGTACTTGATATTTCACTTCAATAATGATGATTAAACATTGATAAATTTGGTAATTCATATACCACTGTTGAAGATGAAGTGGCAGATGGTCTGATAACCAATATTCTCTGGAAATATTGATTTGAGATGAACAATTAAAAAAATTGAAATGGCAAACGTTTGGGGATGAAAGAGAAACATTAAAAAATAGGTTATATTTTGGATTTACTTGCCCTTCACATATTGCAGAATGGGAACATCACAAAGAACATGTTTATGCTACAAATAATATTGAGTACACTGTTGGATAACACATGCGTATTCTTTCACTTTAAGAAATGCGTAAAGAAAAAGTACTCGCCGACAGATCTTTCGTTAAGATAAAATAAAAAAAGTGTGGTATATGAACACCCCCATTGATTGACATTATGACAACTTTCCTAAAGATTAATTAAACGTTTTGTGTACCAATTAGCCATTATTAAAATTCAGTTCAGTTGTTAAATTTACTCTTCATAGTTAATAATTTTTGAATTATCATATTCATCTTTCACACAAACTTTTCTGTTTGTGAGCAGAATGTTTTGTATCCAAATTTCTTCATCTCCTGTTTTCCCAAATGACTGTTTTCTTCATGAAATCAATTCTTCATTTATATATGTCTTACATCTAAAACCAACCTCTGATGATATTGAAATCTCTTTGGTTATATTATTTTTTTAAGGACCGTGAAAATTTTCTAGTCTCAAAGTTTTCAGGCTGCTAATTGGTTTTTCATTGCTTTCCTTTACTCGTATGATTTGTTTTATTTTTTCTTTTCAATTTTTATCATATTTTTCAAAATGTTATTAGTAAGTCATCACTTTATTACTTCAATCACACCTTTAATTTTTCTATATTATTCTTCAGTTTATAATTTTTTCATCATCCATTACTTATTTTAGTAAATTTACTTCAGTTTTTGTTGGGGTGAGTATTTCTTTCTTTTTTCAGTCCTTTCTCTACAAAGTTAAAATAAATATGAATGTTCTATTAAACTTAATTGGAAATTCATTAACTTATTACTGTGTATTTTCTTTAAATTCATGATTACTTTATCAATGAAAATGTATATAATGGTTTTAAAGTAAGAAAAATATGAATTGAAGGGGTTATATTTTTAAGAGTGACTAATTTTTGGGAAAGTTTTTGGCTTTCTACTACTCCATTTTGATAAAAAAAGTGGGAATCTTCCAATTCATGAATGAGTTGTGTGTATTTTCTATAATGTTATCCAGATTGGTACTGAAGAGCCCTAAGGCAAGTTCCTTACAGCGAAACATCGATGTCTACCAGTGAGGATGACAGTGTTCCATGTAAGTGCAATTTGTTAACATTCATTTATTGTAGAACTCTTGTGAATGATATCTGATTTTATTCCATAACGAATGTTTGGAATACAAACTGAGTAGAGAAAAGTGTCTTCTGTATAATTCAGTCACAGCATAGGTAACAATCAGCATGGACACTTGGCCATGCCGCCTTTGATGTAGAAAAGTATATAGACGCCATTTTGTGAAGTGACGATATAAGAGGGCAGGACTCGCGAAATGGTTTTGGACAGGTTCGCACTCAAAACTTTTTTATATCCATAATGCTCATATAATTTCGATATTCCTTACGGAATGGGACCCAAATTCAATTGTGCAGATATTGTATCTGGTTACATGATTTTTTCAAAGAATGTCAAAACAGCGAAATTATTTCTAAAATTACCAGTTGGAATACAATGGTTCAATTAACTGGAATATGAAGGAGAAATTGTCTAGCAATCAACTTTTTGGTATAAACTTTATGATCTACCTCTCTTAAAATAAATGTGATTTTGTATATTACTAATTAACATTTCAGTTGAATTGCTTGTTCTTTATTATAAGAATTGACGAGACTCTCAAAATTGCTTTGGAAGTTTACTTCCAAGGAGGAAATAAAATAAACAAATTCATTTTTGGACATCCTTAACCGAATGTGTCAAGAGTTCCATTTTGAAATGCTCTGAAATAACAATACAGAGATTCATTATTTAATTCACAATTTGTTCTGGAATAGGTCACACAAATGTCACAACTATGAATTTTCAGTAATTTATTTATCAAGTGGTCCTTCGGAAACATAAAAAAACTTATTTTGGATACAGACGTGTCCACCACCTATTAGTTTTTTCCATTATGTTAAAAGTTAAAATTCACGATGCGCACAGAACACAGGTAACATATACGTCCTAACAAGAGCAAAGCCAGGATTCGGTTGTCAAACTCTGTTCAGTATAGACGTGTTTCAAAACCGGGTGTTTTTTCCTAGCGAAATCTTACCAACTTTTCCTTTGTTTGAAATTAAACCTTTCTTTTCCTTTTGTTTTTGGTGAGTACTATTACATATTGGGAGTAGCAAGGGTTCCTGAAAATGTTAGATCCTGGGGGGGTCAACCCCTCTATTACTACGGAAAATCAGGATGGTGATAATGATAATATTTTGATGGATGATGAATATGACGAAGAGCAAGCCAGGATAGCAAAACAACAAAAAAATAATGAAGTGGGAAACAATAGTCCAAATACGACAGACAACCAGGTAAAAAAAACTGTTAAACCTATCTATTATAAAAACTCAGATATTGGGCCTTTTTTGGTTATGATTGAAGCCAAGGACGAGCTTCAAAAAAATGGCATCAGAAACAGAATTCAGAGAATTTGAAAATGAATCCGCTGAAAATCCCCCCACCTTCAATTCTTCCCAACCAGAAAAAAGAGCATTTAGTCATAGACCCATCATATATCATAATTATTCACAACCAAGTAATACTGATTACCAACTGTAAACTAGTTCCACATTATCAAAGCCTATTAGTGCCATACGTTCAATTAATCAACCTCTAGTAGTGCCTCGAAATCATTTACCCAGCCTCATAATAGTGCATCGTACATCAACTCTGAAAACTCAGATATATTAGAATTTTATAATAATTTCATGCAATTTCCTGTAGAATTCCGAAATAAGCTTAGGGAACTGATCAACACAAGTTATCAGCTCTCGAGGCTTCCTTCAGACATAGATTCACCAAGAAGTAAATAGTTAATTAAAAAAAAAAGAAAGAAAACTTTATTTTAATTAAAAACAGTAAAATGAACACAATAAAAAATTTAAAAATAATTCAATGGAATATAAGAAGCATAAATTCCAACAGGAGCAATCTCATCAATCTAATTCGTGACGAACACTTTTTATTACTCAATGAAACATATTTAAAACCTACACAAACCTTTTATATCAAAAATTACAACATAGTACGAGTTGATAGGCAAGATATTACCCATAGTTTAAACAATGAACATGGAGGAGGAATAGCAACCCTCATTAGGAAAGATTTGAAATTTGACATTATACAATTCCTGACAGAATATCAAAGCAAACATTTTCAATTTTTAACTATCAAATATAAAGATATTAACATAATAAACGTTTACTCCACTCCCACAAATAAAATATCTCTCACAATTTTTAACCATATAATTAATAAACTAGATGGATCTCTAATCATAATGGGGGATTTTAATGCTCACCACTATTTATGGGGAAGCGCTAATAATGATAGGAATGGCAACATTTTAATAGAGATAATTAACAATCATAATATGGTGTTATTGAATGATGGCTCTCCGACACGTTTATCAAATCCTAATGAGAACCCTAGTCCCCTTGACCTCACTATAGTATCCAATGAGTTAGGCACAAAAACTTGCTGGGAAGTATTGGGGGACTGTGCAAACAGTGACCATTTTCCTACAGCGTGTATCTATAACCAATCTATAACACACACTAACGAGTGCAACCTTGGAACATTATAGTAAACGAAATTACTCTAAAGCTGACTGGAGTATTTACTCTAGAGAAATATCCCTTGCACTTTATAATTCTACTGGAAAAAGAAGTTACCAGACATTTATCGATATGGTTAACTATGCTGTTGAAATAGCCATTCCAACCATAACCTGTAACCCCTTCAAATCAAAGAAAGCGGAATGTCCTTGGTGGGATGAAGAATGTTCTAAGAAAATCAGAGAACGTAGGGCGGCTATAAACTCTTTCAAATCTAATCCATCTTTAGAAAATTATATACTTGCGAAGAAAACTATTGCACTAAGCAGAAAATTTCTAAAACAAAAAAAAAATCTAAATTTAAAATATTTTGTGCTTCGCTTAACAGAGAATCGGATGTAACATATGTTTGGCGAACTGTTCGAAAGTTTAACTTGATCCAACAAGGGACCTCCCCAAAAAAACTCCCTACTGAACAAATCTGTTTGAATATCTTAGACGATCTATCAACCTGCTTCATAGATCCAAGTTTTGTTTTAACGGTTACTGAAAATGTTAGCTCCTTTTCCATTATGGAATTGTGGAACGTTCTAGAAAATAGAAAAAAGTCTTCTCCTGGTAGGGATAATATCACCTACGAGATGATAAAACATTTTCCTTTATGTGCCAAATACAAACTTCTTGAAATTTACAATAACTGCCTCAGTGGAGGAGATATTCCAAGTCAGTGGAAAGAACAAACCATTGTAGCCTTCCTTAAACAATCCAGGGACCCAAGCTTATCTAGTAGCTATCGGGCGATTATTTTATCTTCATGCATTTCTAAACTATTAGAATCAATGATCAAAAACAGAATGGAATGGTTTATTGAGAATAACCAATTATTGAACCACTTTCAATGTGGTTTTAGAAAAGGAATGGGTACAACCGATAATATAGCT